ATTTAGGTTGTTTCCAGATCTTTTAAATTGTGAATTGCACCGCAATCAACATTGGAGTAAAGATGACTGGTCGCAGTCTATTTCTTACTTATTCTGGGGATATGCCCAACAGGGGAATTGCTGGGTCATAAGGTAGCTCAATTTCCATTTGCTTTAGATAGCACCAGATCTCTTTCCACAGTGGCTTGACGTATCGACAAGACTACCAGCAGTGGATGAGAGTTCCTATCTTGCCAAATCCCCTCCAACATTTGCTGCTCTCTGTTTTTTGAACTGGGCTATCGTCAGGGGTGGTAGGTGGTATCTCATAGTTGTTTTCATATGCATTTCTCTCATAGCTAATGATCATGAACGTTTTCTCATGCTTATTTGCCATTTGCCTTTCCTCCCTGGTGAAACTTCTGTCCGGGTCCTTTGCCCGCATCCTCAGAGGGCGCTCTGCTTTTGTCTTGTTGCAGACTATTAGGGTATTGTCTACTTTAGTAATAAGCCCTTTGTCTGGTGTGTCATTGCTAAAGATCTTCTCCCAGTCTGTGGGTTCTCTCGTTACTCTCTTGGTGAAGTCTTTCGATGCACACAGGTGTTTTATCCTTAGTATATCCCACTTGTCGATTCAGCTTCTTCTGTGTGTGTCCTGCCCTATTTCCAGTAGCCTATGTATTCCCTGTGCCAAGGTTCTCAGGTTTGTCCCAATGCTCCACTGATGATCATAATAATCTGGGGCTTTACTCTGAGGTCTGTGATCCATCCTGCGTTTGTTCTTGTGCATGGGGTGAGGATCATGCTTCATTTTTCTGCTTGTAGATATCCATTTTTCCAGCACCACTTGTTGAAGAGGGCACCCGTTTCCCAGTTGATGGTTTGGGGGTCCTTATCAAAGATCAGTTGTCTCTATGCTGCTGGTTTTATTTCTGGGTTTTTTGTTCTTTTGCATTGGTCTGCATATCTGTCGTTATAACAGCACCACACTGTCTTGACCACTGTGGCTGTGTAGTATGTTTTAAAGTCAAGTAAAGCAAGTCCTCCGACTTTGTCTTTCTTCTTGAGAAGTTCTCTGCTAATTCTGGGCTTCTTCCTTCTCCATATGAAGGTAGTAGTCAATTTTTTCCATTTCTTTGGTATTTGTATCAGTGTAGCATTAAATTTATAGAGTGTCTTGGGTAGGATTGACATCTTTCTTATAGTGAGTCTTTAAGCACAGGATATTCTTCCGTTTGTGGAAATCACTTTTGGTTTCTTGAAGTAGGGATCTTTAGTTTTCCTTGTATAAATATTTTGTTTTCTTTGGTTATGTATGCCCCTAGGTTTGATTTGTGCTTGGCTATTGTGAAGGGCATTGCCTTCTTGATCTCCTCTTCCATGGTCTTGTCCGACGTATATAGCAATCCAATAGACTTCTATTTGTTGATCTTGAATCCTGCCACTCTTCCATATTCTTCTACTGCTGCCTGCACTCCCCTTGTGGAGCTTTGGGGGTTTTCAATGTATAGAATCATGTCTTCCTCCCTGCAGAAGAATGCCTCTAAAGAGTTCTTTTTTAAAAACGTTCTCTCAAAAGTAAAAAGGGATGTGGTGGGGGTGGGAGTGGCAGTAGAGAAAGCCATTCCTTCCTTCACCCTTTGAAATCCCTTTGTCCACAGAAAGAATAGACCATTCTGATTTCTTTGGCAACATTATATGTGGACATTTGCCAGGAGTTCCCAGGGCTGCTCTGAAGAAAGGAATAAATTTTTCCCTGAGTCCGCAGAGAGAGATCATGAAGGGTCTCCTTATAAAAGGAGCAACCTTGGTAGAGGAGTAAACACATTAACATATGAATAAACGAGCTAAAATCTTTGCAAAATGACATTGGACAAAGCTAAAGGACAGAATGAGCTGGTAGAAAATACTACAGGTACATTGGCCCCTGACTTCAAAAAAGAAAAAGAAAAACATACTCATTTGTGG